CCTGTGGGGCGGTTTAGGTTTACACAGGGCTCAACATGCGGCCCGCAGGTGAGATCCGTTGAACATGGCCTCCACTGGGAACACACTTCACAATGGCGGATCAATATAATGGTCTTCCGTTGAGATGTGTTTTAGTAGTTACATTCCTGGGATTGTCACTGCTCATTCAAAGTGCTGTCATGTGGGTGGAAATCAGGTAAATGTTGCATTTTATTAATATCAGCAGAACTGACTTAAATGGGGCCTGCGTGTTGTGTAGTCTTGCCTTAATCTTTGTATTCATGCCAGTCAGTGTGAAAGAAACTATTTGCATATATATTTGCATGTCTATGCAACCACACTTAAGTTATGGCCCTCCACATGTGCTGGGAGTATTCCTGTGGCCTCCGGAGCTTCCAAAGTTGAGTAGCCCAGCTGTAGTCCTTACTTGTGCAAAACTAACTGTGAGTTTTGCCTAAATAAGGGCTGCAAGATAGAGCTCTTTATACGTAGAGCACTGAAGTGCAGCCATCTCTGGTGAAGAGGGTTGCAGCTCGCCAACGCAGACTATGCTGTGTGATAATGGGAGGGGAGGGAAAATTCTGGCCATTAACAAATGTACTGTGTGTTGTATTAATTAGACGTATTTGGCTGGAGGGTTTTAGGTTGTTGATAGAAGCCTGATTTTACTGTTACCACACTAAACAGTTAATTGTGTTCTGTGTACAAGAACCCTGACCTGCTCTCATAGCAACCAGCCATGCCATACAAATCTTCCAGGCGCTTGTTAAGCACAGAACAACAAAACCCAAAGCATAACCACAAAAAATTCTTGAAATCTCAATATCCTGGAGGCTACTCACTGTGGAAAGTTTTCTTTTAAGTCTAGCAAAGTGTTTCAGAGAGTAGATTGTTTGCTAGAGAGTCTGTTGCTTGTATTGAAAGTTCCTTTTGTGGGTGGGGGAGGATGAGTCAGTTTGCTGTTGGATTGTAGCTAGGGAGCTGTTCTTCAAAAATGCTCCTTGTTTTGTTGTGGGTGGTTACGTTTGGGGGCTTTTTGCTTGTTTAAAGACAGTCCGGGCACAGGAAGGGGGAAAGAAAAGAACAAGAACGTAGAACTGCTGTTTCTAATGCTTGTTCAGTTGCCTTTGTGTCAGGGCAGGACTGCTAGTCTGTGACAGTTGGACTGTGGAGTTCAGCTCATTTCAGAGTTGATTAAACAAAATTAGAACCAAAAAAAGCAACAGAGAAAGGAACAAAATTTGCCATGAGTGAAGGGCGGCAGCAACCGTACCCCTGACTTTCCGCGACAACGTGGAATCCAGCCGCAGTTATGTGACGTCCTTGCTGGTCTGGTTTATACCATGGATGTCCCAGAGTTTTCCACAGAGGCCACCATTCGCAAGGTGAAGTGCCAGCTTTCCATATCCCTAAGGGCAAATAATGCCCTGTATCTCTTTCACATTGTGTCCAGAAGGGGCGTGAGGAACCATCTCTGTGCCCGCACTTTAACCATGCAAGAATATTCTCCAGTGTTTAAGACATAGGCACCTTCCATTTACTGAAGCCATCAGGCTGTTCAGCTAATTTGTAATCTCCTGAAAGTCTCTGGACATCATTATAACAGCTCCTTTTAGGGTAGAGTTGTCCTGAATCACTCTCCTCAGATTGGTGCTGTACTTTTAATAATTTTGCATATGGCTACAATTTTTTTTTTTGCACTTTAATTTTAGCAACATCCCAGCCAGTGCATAGGCCTCGCCACAAGACCTGTCTTTACAAAAAATGCTGAAAGATCTTTAATGTTTGCGTACAGCAGACAAGGCATCTTTTTTTTAAGGTCTCATCTGAAAGATCGACAGGCTGTACAATGCACAGAACTCAATGTTTCTACTACAGCAGGTCAGAGGATGATAAACTCCCACTAGGCTTGGATCCTGTGTTTCCAGAGCAGAGAGGTTTTCAAGACGAGGCTTAAATAATGTTTACAATTTGTAGACATGTCATCTTTAGCTCTCCCGTTAATATAAAGGGCTCTACCTTTGGCAGAGATCTCTGCCCCAGTAGGGAAAAAAGTGTGTTGTATTCTCAGCCCGCCTGTGAGTGAAATAGTTGTAGTCCAGCAACAGACATTCGTGGGCCTGCTACCGTAATAGGTAATAAGGAAAACTGGGGAAGGAATCAGAATTTGGGGATAATTCCACCTCCAGAACGTGTGTGTCAAGAAGTTTCCAGGATAAAATGGAACTAGCTATTTCCATCTAACTGTACCATCGCTACAGGAGTGTTTTCTGGAGTTCTGTGACGAAGACCCACATGGAGATCATGTAAGAGGGGTTCCTGCAGCGACAGCAGAGAAAGGACTGGCCGTGACGGTGCATGGATGTGTCTGTCCAGCTAAGGCTGTGCATGAGCAAGCCCGACTCCAGCTGCTGGTAACGATAGCAGTGGAGACAGGGCAGTGTGGGCTGAGTTAGCAAGCCAAGGATGTAGCCAGGGTCTGTGCTGGGCTTGCATTATCTGCCTTGAGGTACCTGCACTGCTATTGTTACCCAGGCTATCTGGAGTCAGACTTGCTCTGGTAGCCTAGCCAGGGCCAACTCTTGCCTTGTAGACCTACCCTGAGATGCATCAAGAAAAGCTGTGAGCAGAGGCATTTGACAGCAAAAGGCATCGATTTCTTTCAAGCAGTCACTCACATCACACCTTTTTCTGAATGACTCCACTTTTCTGTCACCCCAGGAAATAGCTGTGACCAAGTGAGTTTTGTGGAAGCCAAATAAGCAGTGGGTTCAGTGTTGCCGTTTGCACCCAGCTTGCCAGGATACCTGTATTCAGAGGGTGAACTTCCCTGAGCACACTTAAAGAAGTTGAGTTGTAATATATAAGACCCTCCAGAAATGACAGGGGATCCCAGTGGTCCGTGATCCTCAGCTCTGACAGTGTAAAACTATAAAGGTGTAAGCACGGCCAGGGGACTACACAGTGATTTCTTCTGAAAGAATTGATCCAGGCAGCATGACAGCAATGGCGTTTCTTGGCTGTGCATGAAAGAGGAGCTACATTTGTGCATGAGGCTAGGAAGAGATCTCAGGCCCTTTCAATAAAGTGACCAATAATTCAGGAGTTCTGCGTGGAGAGCGGAGCCAGCTAACCACCACCCAAGAGGCGGCTGTGTTAAAATCCACACTGCCATTGTGGCTGGGTGCTTAAAAGAACGATAGCATCATTTCAGTGCTCTGGGTAGAATTCTTTCCCCTGCCTTTGGATTGCTCACTGCCTTATAAACCCCATACCCTGCAAAATTTGCCTAAAGGATGAAATCTCCTAACAGACCCCTAGTTAATCTTTTCTAAGTCACGCACGGAAGAAGGCACGGAGCCAAAGACCTTTCTGCTGTCTTGGGGTGAAGCATTCTGAAACTTTGCCAACACAAAACAAAATGTGCCAGGATTAGTTAGTTCGATCTTGTAGAATCAATTTCCAAATATTTTTTCCATGAGTTTTTATTTAGTTTTCTCTATTTCAGGAGATTAACTCTGTAAACCAAATCCGAATGGCCGGAGAGCCTTCAGACTTCACATTCTTTCCAGGTGAATGTCCCATTTGAAAGGGAAAGACAGGGCTGTGAGCTATAAGACCCTGTATTGCTGGATGAGACGTTCTGGATGGTCTGTGTGCCCTAGAAGGAAGTGTGTCTCAGGGTATGTCTATACTGCGGGGGTTTTCCAGGTTACCGGAAAAACTCCGCCGCGTCCAGGGAACGCGTCTGCTTTTTTTTGCGGAAGAGCAAACGCGCTCTTTCGGGGAGCCCTGTGTACCTCGTTCTACGAGGAATAAGGGCTCCTCCAAAAGAGGAGGTTTTTCTGCCATTTGGCCCCATCTAGACGGAGCCAAATGGCGGAAAAGCCTCTTCCAGAAAAAAAAGTGATAATGTAGATGTTGCCTCAGAGGCGGGTGCCTGGGTTGTGTTGGGTTGCTTGTTGTCTTTCATTTTCTGAGGGCTCAGGGCTTGTGGTCTAGATGGAGCATGACCAGGAAGATCTTACAGCCTTTAAATTAAAAACACATCTTTGTCCTATGCCTGGAATGGCGAGGTTTATCCAAGCCTGGCTCTTGTTGATGGATGTGGTAAAAGTCTATCCTGTTGGCATGTCATTCTGGGACTTACTAGGTGACTAAGCCAATTGACCCTCTGTTGGCCATACATAATAGTCTGAAGCCAGATGTTCTTCTAAGTGGGGCATGGGAACCTATGGAAGCCACATGCCTTCATCACCTCCCTGTTTGCAGGCAAAATAGGTGATGGAGCATCGTCTCTTCTGATCACCATGAGGTTGGGCTGTTCTGCTGGTGAAACTGCATCTGAGGATAGGGTGATAGGTCAGTAGAGGGCAGCGTGATGAATCTGCTAAGGCAAAAGCTTAATCACAGAATACTAGGACGGGAAGGGACCTCGAGAGGTCATCGAGTCCAGTCCCCTGCCCTCATGGCAGGACCCAGTACTGTCTAGACCATCCCTGACAGACATTTATCTAACCTGCTCTTCAATATCTCCAGAGATGGGGATTCCACAACCTCCCTGGGCAACTTATTCCAGTGTTTGACCACCCTGACAGTTAGAAACTTTTTCCTAATGTCCAACCTAAACCTCCCTTGCTGCAGTTTAAGCCCATTGCTGCTTGTTCTATCCTCAGAGGCCAAGATGAACAAGTTTTCTCTCTCCTGCATATGACACCCTTTTAGATACCTGAAAACAGCTATCATGTCCCCCCTCAATCTTCTCTTTCCTAAACTAAACAAACCCAATTCTTTCAGCCTTCCGTCATAGCTCATGTTCTCTAGACCTTTAATCCTTCTTGTTGCTCTTCTCTGGACCCTCTCCAATTTCTCCACATCCTGCTTGAAATGCGGGGCCCTGAACTGGACACAACACGCCAACTGAGGCCTAACCAGCGCAGAGCAGAGCGGAAGAAGGACTTCTCGTGTCTCGCTCACAACACTCCTGTTAATGTCTGGGTCTGTTGGTGAGGGCGGGGGGGGGGAGGGTTGGAGATGTGGGGAAGCGTCACTAAAGGCAGCGGCCGAGGGTGAATGAACTGGGGTGCCTGGAATTGCTTGTGCACGGCCTGAGAGCAACCAGACTCGTGTGGATAGGAACACGCACATCACAATCTACCTGACTTCATACCACCCGTTTCTCTCCAGCAACAGAAACCAGCCTCCTACAAGGCCCCTGAAATCGCCCACTGCTCCTCCCGGAGGAAGCCTTATCCTGTCTCACCCATTTCCTGAGGGCCTTTCGTAGAGCGAATCCACTGCCTTTGACTAATAAGTTGAGACAGCCTCCCAGCGTCAGAAGGCCTTGTTGGGTGAGATTAGTCCCTTAAGCTTGCTGAAGTCGAGATTTCCGGACTCCTGTGAGCTGGGAAAGAAATGGGCTGCAAGTGCTGGAAGTGCTCGTGCTCCGGGGCCCAGACATCTGGCAGCGGTGGAGCTAGCACCTTTACAAGCCCTCCGGTGTGCGGGAGATCCATGAACTAACGCGCCCTTGCCGAATTCTTTGATGTCCTCTGCGGAGATGGAAGTTCTGCCTGCGGTTTGCCATCTCCTAAGGCAGCCTTGGGCAAGCGAGGCTCAGGAGGGGACCGCGTGAGTGGCCTCTATCTCCGTGGGCCGCAAGGTTTGCCAGCTGTGCTTGCCTACCTAGAACTGTGGGCGGTGCTGATCGAACCGCAGCAGCGTTGTGATTGGCTGCAGAGGGAGCATGCGGCTCATAGTCAGTGCTGTGTGCAATCAGCACGCACCTCACTTTGTGTGCCCTGGCTGTACGTGTGCGCCGCTTTAGTAAGACCAGTAGGAAAAAAAGGATGCGGCTGGAAACCAGCAGAATCTGGCAGCCCCGCGCATGGGCAATGGTAAACCAAATGTCTCGTGGGCCACAGAGAGCCCCGGTGGGCTGCAGGCTGCCCCCCACTCTCCTAAGGGCCTGGGAGTCTGGACACCTGGGTTCTGTTCCCAGTTCTGCCAGACATTGTGTATGAACTTGGCTAAGTCTCTTTGCTGCTGGATGACTCGGCTTCCTCCTCTGTGAAATAATGGCGCCCTCACAGGGAAGTTGAGGCCTAGCCCGTGTTTGCGCATTGAAAGGCCCGGGAAAAGTGGCAAGTGGCAATGCCTGTGGCTGAGAGAAGAGGGGGGTGGGTTGTGTTGTGGGGACACTAAATGAGAAAGCATCACAGGTATTTTACGGCTGGTCTGGGCCTGAGCAAAGGAGACTGCCTTTGCCAACGTAGTCTGCACAAATGGGGCATCAGTCTGGACCATGTCCTGCCATCCTGCTGCTGCCCCAATCGGCACCACGTAGGCTAGCTGCTCTTGGTGAGTCCGCATCCCAGGCAGGAGGAGCCTTCAGAGAAAAGTGGTCTCTGGCAGGGAGGGGAATGGGAAATGCCCATTGCTCCTTGAGAGCGTGGAGCCGTGAGGACGGGCTCAGCAGCGGTTCAGCAGCGTGGAGGAGGAGCTGCGTCAGACATCCCAGAAGACGGCCTTCCATTCCGGGGTGGGGTCCCTCATCACTGAGATCAAAGGACAGGGGAAGCTCTTCTGCTTGCCATTTTCCTCTGTGGTCAGCCAGGAAATTGAGGGCGATGGAGGACTCACTGAAAAGCCCCCCGATTAGCCACGCAGCCCATCTCTCGCCTGGCAAGGAACGTCTCTCGTCTTTCTCACAAAAGGCCTGCGAAAGGTGGGTTCTCCGAGAAGCAAATCGTAAATGGGGCTTTGCTAGGAGATAAAAGTCAAGTTTGGGGAGAGGCTAAAATAGTTTGTCCGAGAAGGACTCTGTGTGCACTGCTTGAAACTTCTGTGCATTGTCTGTCTGCCCACATCCCGTAAACGTGGGAAATTCCCTTGGTCTGGAAACCAACCCGGGCAATTCTGGAGGACAGGAGCCCGAGGTCGTTACAAATCGCCGTCTCAGCACTGCCAAAGGTTTGGGAAAGGGACTGTGAACGCTAGTGAGTCACCTGGCGGGCTGCAGTGTTCCTGTTGCTGATTTATTTATCCTTGGGTTCCACTCCTCCCTGCCTGACGTTCCCCTGCAAGTGCCGTTGATCAAGGAGACAAGTGACTGTGCCAGTTCTATTGATTAGAATAAATTACTAGCAGCTCATTTATGGACCTCGCCGAAGCGCTTTTGAGGTGGCGGACTGTGCTCTATTGTTCAGTAAATTGGGTTGTCAGAGAAAGCTATTGTTACAAGTATTGTTACCTTTTATTGTTACTGTTCTCACACTGCGATACTGGCCAGCCTCGTGGAAAGATGAAAATCTCTCTTGCCAGTTTGCAGAGTGTCATGATGGTTCTGAGGAAGAGAGGGATGAAATCTCTCCCTACCCGCAGTGGTTGTAAAAAGCACATCCCTGGTGCTGTATATGTATTGCCCACCCACAGTTTCTGTAGGGCTAATGACCTTCCTTGGACTTGCAAGCTCAGGGAATTTGCTAGTGACCAGCGATTGCAGGTTGCAGGAAAACTGCTGCTTAGTACGCTGTCCCCCAGCAATGAGATTCGGAAGCCAGAATTTTGCTTGCAATTGGGTTGGCGATGCTTGATTTTTGCCAGTCAGCTGAGAAGGTCGGATTCGTTCCTGGGCAGCAAGCAGAGAGTAGTTTTAATACACCACTCTGCTTCTGGAAGGGTACGGCATTTGCAAAAGCAAGCAAACTGCTAGCAAAGAGTCTTTCTAAGCCAAAATGGAAATGCCGTTCACCAAGCAGACACTTAAAGGGGAGGTCTGTGACTAGGCCTTCATGCTGGAGAGCTCTTAGAAGGGTCCTGCCTTTTGTTTCATTGCAATGCCTTGAAATGGGAATTTTCATATTGAGATTTTACTGCAAAGAAGCCTTTCCGGTGAACACTCATCCATTTGCTTTGCTGGTGCCGTCTTCCTTCCTTTGTTGCTTTTTGCAGGTATGCTATTTATCTAGGTTCCTTTGGTGCTGGCCCACACTTGTTCTCCCAAGAAGAATGATGGCACTTATACCTCATTATGACTTACGATGGGAAAGTCAAGGGGGCGGGGAGGAGCTTTTAAGGATTGCATTTTAGAAAAGCGGGAATGCTGGCGGAGGGGCAGTTGCAGAAGGGTTTGGAAGAACAAGTGGGCTTGGCCTTTAGCTCTTAACAACGTGAGATTGGTGGTGGCCCTTGGTGGTGGTGGCTCTGGATCTCAGCTGGTGGTGGCCCTTGGTGGTGGCGGCTCTGGATCTCAGCTGGTGGTGGCCCTTGGTGGTGGCGGCGGCTCTGGATCTCAGTCTGGTCAGCTGATGTGGGAAGGTTTGGTGGCACAGGGGGATACCTCCCTCAGGACCCATTCCCAGCCCTAGAACTGTGCTATAGTCGTATAACTAGGGTTGGTTCTTTTTCCATTTGTGTTAATACAGGTGTGAATGAATCGGTATCGTCCTCAGTTTGAGTGCCCTGGCCACGTGCCCCGAAATTCCTTTTCCAGGGTAGAACTGTCCAGGGTCTCTCTGCCTGTGGCCTGAATTGGGATGAGAAGATGCAGCCAGTGGCGAGCCATAAGCCCTAGCCTGTAAATTCAGATCTACGAGGCTCGGTCCGCACAGTACCAGTGTCGCCCACCAGGAATCCCGATAGCATCCTCAGGTAGGCATCTGTGCCCCTTCTGTAACTCCGGCCTGGCAGTGAGGTTGCCGGCACATACGTAGGGGGTGTGAGTGAGACAGCTGGTGGGGGTGCGGGACTGGACTCTACCACTCCCCAAGAGAGCGGGTGGACGGTGCTATCCCCTCCCTTGCTTGCGTGGGAGGCCTGTGATCCTTAGAACTCCCCAGCGTGGTTACGGCTCTCAATTGCGCCCTGTTGTGCTCACGTCCATCTACAGACCAGCCCATTCACACAGCCCAACAGTGGGCGCCTGTTGGGGCAGGATTCCGCTGGCATGGTCCCACCTGACCCGGAGACCTTTGATATTCTGGCTGGCAGACTAGTTGGCTGTGCCCTGTCTGGTATTCCCTTGAGCAAGCCACAACAGGCTGCCCTTTCACTGAAAGGCACGAGCTGCTCTCCCACCCATTTACAAGGCCAGGCGTCACTGACAACACTGTTTGCTGGAAGAGCCGCCCTCTCCCCCAGGGAGCAGCAATACCCAAAGCCAGCCTTCCTCGGGGTCCGTCCTGCCCTTGCAGTTGGCAGCTCTGCAGCTTGACGCGCGTCAGGGCCCCTAGCGGGACTCCGTCGGCTGAGAGGAGAGCATCACACACCCGTTGTGAAAGCGTTAAAGGCCAGGCGTCACTGACAACACTGTTTGCTGGAAGAGCCGCCCTCTCCCCCAGGGAGCAGCAATACCCAAAGCCAGCCTTCCTCGGGGTCCGTCCTGCCCTTGCAGTTGGCAGCTCTGCAGCTTGACGCGCGTCAGGGCCCCTAGCGGGACTCCGTCGGCTGAGAGGAGAGCATCACACACCCGTTGTGAAAGCGTTAGTGACAGGCCCCCAGGGCCGGTGGCGTTTGGGAATTGTTGTGATTGCACGAGCCTGTGTGCAGGTGTGGTGCCTGCAGCTGCGCTGGCCTCATTCCTGCCTCTGAAATTATATGTTTTTTCCCTGCACGTGGAGAGACCCATTTAAAGAGACATGGCTCTTGAAAGAATCATTCGAGACTCTCTGATGTGCTTCATCCAGTCCCACATCCCTGCGGCCGATCTCAGGTATGTGCCAGCTCCTCTTCTGCACTTGAACTTGCTGTTAGGTGCCCTTCCCCCCTTCTGTTAAACTCCAGGGCTACATCTATATTGGCAAGATTTTGCGCAAATACTCTTTAACGCAAGAGTTTTTGCGTTAGAGTATTTGCGCAAGAGACCATCTACACTGGCATGTGCCTTTGCGCAAGAGATGTGCTTTTGTGCCAGAGCATCCATGCCAGTGCAGACGCGCTCTTGCGCAAGAAAGCTCTGATGGCCATTTTAAACATCGGACTTTTTTGCACAAGTAATTGATGTTGCCTGTCTACACTGGCCTCTTACGCAAGAACAGTTGTGCAAGAGAGCTTATCCCTAAGCGGGAGCGTCAGAGTATTTGCACAAGAAGCCCTGATTTCATACATTAGAACATCAGTGTTCTTGCGCAAGTACTCGCGGCCAGTGTGGACAGGTGGCAAGATTTTGCGCAAAAGCAGCCACTTTTGTGCAAAATCTTGCTAATGTAGACGTAGCCCAGGTCTCATGTTCTCCGTGTGTTGAATTCTGCTGCCCCTCAGTCGAGATCTCAGGAGCGTGTGTCACTTGTCCAAAGTGCTAAAATCCGCACACCATGTGTAAGAGTGTTTACCATGTCATAGCCGCCAGGGAACTGAGGAATAAGGTTATCAATTTCTTATCCAGGAACACCGATCTCTCTAGCTCCTTGCATCATATGGGGATCCCAAAGTGCTTTTCAGACAGCACACTGATCCACCCATACACTGTTTATATAACGAGAACTTTTCCCACTAGGGAATGCAGCCACCTCTAGGTTGGAACGCAGTTGCAGTACGTGGCAGCTGCATGCAGACTGAGGACAGAAAGTGGAGAAGAGCAGGGCAGTCGGAAGGGTTGTTCACCTGAAATTCTGTCTCTACAGAGTACAGTTACCCTTGGAATCGACCCTAAACACGAGTCACGAGTGCTCAGACATTGTAACGCCAAGTGCTGTGCCCCTCCCCCCACAGCAGTGTCCTGTGTATTACTGCAGTGCCGGCGGGGAAAGAAGACAGTCACAAATTAAATGGCACAAGTCACTTTCTGCAGCTCCCCAGTTTCTCCCCCAAAATCTGCAAGTTCTGACCCGACCCTGCCTGCCTTCACTTGGGAGATCCGATCCAATCACACTGCAGGAAGCTGGCCAGGTGGAAGGGCACTGGCAGGGCGAGTACTGGTTGGCTCAGCTCCCTAAGCGTGTGTCTTCCTTGTCCCCAGCGGGATGGATGACGTCGTCTTCTCCTACATCGCTAGCGTCCTGGAAGAACTAAGCTCTCCCGAGCCGTCCGAGGAGAACTTTGACATGGACACTTTCGTGGAAATGATGGAGGCCTTTGTCCCTGGCTTTGCAGAAATCGACAGGTGCGTGTCACTGAGCATGTGGGACGTACACACCACACTCCAAGCACTGGGCCTGAGTGCTCTGTCCCAGGATCTTCTGGTCCCAAAGCCATGCAGTCATGGACAGAGTCCAGCCTCTGCCATTACGAGCACATGTTGCAAGCAGGCCCCAGTTTGTTACACCGCCTTCCCTAGGACCCCAGCCCACGGCAGCCCGACAGGTGCGTGTCACTGAGCATGTGGGACGTACACACCACACTCCAAGCACTGGGCCTGAGTGCTCTGTCCCAGGATCTTCTGGTCCCAAAGCCATGCAGTCATGGACAGAGTCCAGCCTCTGCCATTACGAGCACATGTTGCAAGCAGGCCCCAGTTTGTTACACCGCCTTCCCTAGGACCCCAGCCCACGGCAGCCGCTGGGGGCCCCCTCCCCAGACCAC